AATACATATTGTTTCAAAGCAGCTTTACAGAAAGTGCATTTCAGAAATGTACATAGAAAAATACAGTTAGTTAATCATCATGTATTGTTGTTTCATCATGTCAACCGGGAGAGATTTTGGACTATCGTCTCCATTGCGGTTACGCACTCACGTGACATTGATGTGCTGCGCTGCCACAAAAGCTTGCATGCATTTTTAGGGCCCAAGCCCAAAGGGCGAAGGCCCTATTGTTTTCCTTAGGATTATTTATTATTATTATTATTATTATTATTATTATTATTATTATTATTATTATTATTATTTTTCTGCTACCTTTTGGACACTTTTGGAGGCCTTAACATGCTCAAAAACTCCTGAAACTTTGCACACATGTCAGAACCCGCGGCCATCAGGGCCGGGCTGAAGATGGTACCCGGGCGTGGCAGGGGGGCTCGACAGCGCCCCCTGGAACGGGGTCCGAAAACATGGTCCATAAATCAAACACGCTTGCATGTAATAATATGAAACTCGGTACACATGTAGATCTCCTCGTTTCATATATACTTCACACTCTTACTTTTTACCCCAGCCCAACAGGAAGTCGGCTATTTAGGGTTGTTGGTAAAACACACGCAATGGAATGTGAAATACTCCTCCTAGAGAATTCAAACAAACGGCACGAAACTCGGTCAGCATGAAGTCAAGACATTGAGGATGAAAGTTTGCGAGGGGATTTTTGATATCTCGAACGGTTTGGCCGTGGCGAGGAAACGAATTTATGGCGAGAAACAACAAACAAGAAGTGCGTTATAACTTCTGCATACATTAACTGATCTTGATGAAACTTCAGCAGTGTGATCGCTGTAAGAGGCCGATCACATGGATGTGACTATTGTGAGTCAAAGTTATAGCGCCACCAACTGGCAGCAGGAAGTGTGTCACTTTCTAAATGCTTTTGACAAAAGTGGGGGGGTTAGTTTTATCTACAGTAACAAAACTCGATATGTATATTGTACTCTTCGAGCCGGACAACTTTCTAATTTACCGTAATTAGCTACGACCAACAGGAAGTCAGATATTTTGGTTTGAATGTGGATTTCAGATTCTGAGTTTTTAGCTACTCCTCCTAAGTAGTTTATTTTATTCATGCCAAACTTTTTCAACATGATGAAAATACATTGAAGATGCTAAATTGTGAACAGATATTGAATATCTCAAACGGTTTTGCTATGGTTGAGGGATTCAAGTAATGTCAAAAAAAGAATCAGGGCATGTCTCATATCTTTCTAAAATGTAATTATACACCATTTATTTTTATATAAAATTATACAAATATTAGAACTAAACCCATTTTATTCCTTTTTTTCAATTTAAGAATTATTTTTAAGTTTAAAAACAGCCAGAATGGTTGTTTAGTCAAAAATAATAATAATCCAAATCATATATAGTGCTATACTGCCCTCTTGTGTTCAAAATCAGGTAGGCCTATTGAATTTATAAATATTTATATATTAGGGATGTTACTATGGGAATATTTTCCCACCGGTTAATCAACGTGTGATTGTGTAAACCAATTGTGTAAACCTCCCGCTGGGGGGTTTAAAAACACTAACTTGAAAGCGAAAGTATAATATGGACGTCCGCACAGACATTGAAATGGTGGCGCTCGAATGAATTCCTATGGAAGTAGAAATTAACTAAACGTTCGCTCTGTTCTGCTCGCTCGTCGCCATGGACGCGCACCATTATGAATGCCAGTGCAGCCGCATACTTTTTAGTGTCACTAAAATTAGTGCAATTTCGGGGCCCGATTGCTTGAATTGTGAGTTCAATAGTCTGTTATTTTTCACGGAAAACACAACAATAAAAGAGTACAATGACAGATTCGCTTAAATAGGCGTTTTTACATAAAATAGCCTATTCCGTCATCATCTTTTCAGTCAGCTCTTCACTCTCGTGATTAATGAAATTTGACTCCTGTTGCTGATATTTGCTGCAACTTTCGTTCAGCTCACAATTTAGTAAGCAAACACGTTTCAAATGTGTTTTTATTTTATTTTTGTGTATGTGTGTGTATATGTATGTATATATATAAATATAGCTTATGTTTCAAATATGAGTTAATTAACAATCGTTGGAAAGAATGATACTTTTAAACATAACACTAAACCGTCATTAGGTGTCGCCAGGCGACCGTCTTAATGAGCGAGTCATTGATTCATTCGTTTGAACGACTGAGTCATTCATGAATGAGATAGATGTTTATGGATTGATTGGTCATTGAATCTTTGAGTCAACCGATTCGTTCAAAATGCTGAATCATTCAGTAATGAGAACGCGTTGCTGTGAGATGCGCGATGGTTCTGCTTTGATCTTTGTTTAACTATTTTCGCTGCTGAAACAGAAAAAAAGTCAATATTGCATGTAAAATGTAAGTGATTTGACTTGTGTGTGTGTGTGTGTGATTGTGTGTGTGATTGTGTCTGTTACAGTGATAAGAGTTTAACCCTTGTTAAACTTTAGGCCTTGTCTTTTTGGATATATATCTTTTTATATTAAAAAATAGTCATACAACCCATATATTTTAAATGTATTGTTTGCTTTAAATTACATTAAGATTGTATGTTTGGTAATTGAACCTGAATGAATTTTAAATGAATGTGCTATATTTCAGATCATATATTTGTTTTCCTTAAAATTTGAACTAACACTAACTTTAGTCTCATCTGAATGATAGATTATTTATTTCTGTATAAAATAAAAACACATTTGATTTTTCTTTTTTAATCAATGTAGAATGTGTAACTGAAAAAATAAACAGATTAGGGCTCTGTTTGATGACAAGAAATGAAAACCAATGCGATATGATGAATGTCCAAAAGATGGCTCCCACAGACTGTTTTTAAATAGGATTGTTTGATATTTTTTGCTTTTAAACTGTGTGTGTGTGTGTGTGTGTGTGTGTGTAAGAGATTTTGGTTGGGTGACAGTTGTAGTTTACAGTTTGACAAGAGTTTATAGCTTGACAAAAGCACAATGTTGTGTTTTATTGCAAGTGTACACAAATATAAGTAAACACTTTGCAGTTTGAATAATGTCCTGTATGAACAAAAGGACGGAGTATGTTTTTATGTCTACATTGTTCAATTACGCCACACACACACACACACACACAAACACACACACACACACACACACACACACACACACACACACACACACACACACACACACACACACACACACACAAACACTATTTTTCTAATCAGATCAGGCAAGTAATATTCTGTCTTGTCTCTTAAAAAAACAATATATATATATTTATGTATATATATATATATATGTGTGTGTGTGTGTGTGTGTGTTTGTGTGTGTATATATATAAATATAGCTGCGAGCAGCGATGAAAGGGCCAAAGCCGGCGGCACCGCCACCCCGGTTATAGCGCCACCAACTGGCAGCAGGAAGTCTGTCACTTTCAAAAAGCTTTGAAATCACCTGATTGCTTCAAACTTCACTACTATGATGTAAACACACGGCAGATGTAGACCTGGATGTAGACCTGACCTTTCAGAAGGTTGCTCTCGCATACTTTGTGGTTGATATGTGCCCTCAATGCACACTTTTGCAGAGCCCACACTGATACAAGCTCTACAGCACACTTCTTTTCGACAGTCAAAGCAGGGTTACGTTTTTGCACGTCGTGCACAATAACCCTAAAGGCACCAGGGTGGCGGTGCCACCGGCTTTATATATATATATATATATATATATATATATATATATATATATATAAATATAGCTGCGAGCAGCGATGAAGGGCCAAAGCCGGTGGTACCGCCACCCCGGTGCCTTTAGGTAACTAAAGGCACCGGGGTTGCGGTGCCACCGGCTTGGGCCCGTAATCGCTGCTCGCAGCTATATTTAAACATTGAAATTTAAAAACAAATGATTTTAAATCATTTAAGCGTGAAAAGCAGTGAAAGAGATATGTAAGAACTCATTTCGGTATATGTGTCTGAGAGATGGTTTCTGAGCTCTGAGAGACGCACATGAGGCCGCTGCTTATAGAGTGCATGAGTACTGAACTGAGGTCTTTTTGCCACCTAATTGGGTTTGAACAGCCAAATACACACACTTATGTATCAAAATGTCAGTTTTTGCGAGTTTTCTCATAAACGCAATAATTTATTTCTTAAGTGAGCGTAAACAGTTGAGAAAGCGTATGTGTCACAGTATATTGGATCCGTGCATTTGGTCTTAAAGTGGCAATAGCCTAATATTCCTGTTGCTGTCTGTGCCATTAATATTAAGCAAACAACAAAAGACTCACTGCTCCTGGCTAAATCACTTTTCTAACTTTAATAAAAATACATTTATATTTAATTTGCACAGTGAAAACTGCAGTGTTTTTTGTACATTTAATTACTTATATACAATTTATGTAGTATTTCTTATTTAGTGCTTGAATTTTTTCAGGTCTATTTCATTTGTGTCTGTTCTATTGTATTTTTTTTATCCTATTGCTTGTAATTTGTTTCTTTTTTCTTTCTTTTATCATTGACTGTTTACTTGTCTTCCGTAAGCTTGATTTTTTTTTATTTTTTATTAAAATTGCTGATGAGAATTATGAAATTTCAATGGTATTAAAAATTGTGATATAAAAACCTTATTCAAAGCAAAAATAACTATATATATCGTGATATATCGTTATCGTGAAATAAAATTACTCCTATCGTGATAGATGGTCATATCGCCCACCCCTAATTGTGAGATGACATGCTGCTTTGACGCAGTGGAGATATAGTGTTAAATGTTCAAGACTCAAGTGTAATCGTTTTCAAAGCTGGTTTTGTCCATTTTGAAAGAATATCTGTGGCATAAAACCTGAACTTTCTGAAGGCACTGTTTACTAATGTGTGTTTTTGGTTTCTGCATGTTCATAATGTTTACCTTTATTATCTGTTTGACTTTGCACATATATAGCAGGTCTGCTAATTTTTAACTCTTTTGTTTCACAGATAAAGATGTGACGGCCACAGTAAAAGTCAGTAAAGTCACTAAAAATACTGTCAAATCCCCAGTGACCAAAGGTAGAAACTCTCCACCGCTCCTTCTGTTGTGGCGATTATTGGGGACTGGTGAAATAATCAAAGGGCTCTCCGTTGGGCACTAACATCCTTATCCGTCTGGGCTTTTTTTTTTTTTTTTAAATAACCAATTTTACTGCACAGGCAGCTAATGGTATCAGCTGGAAATTATGGTGATGGGCATCCTGAAATTTTCAACTTCATGTCATTCTTGGAACTAATGCAACTTTCTAGTTCGTACTGTTTGAAATAGGTTGGCGATTGTGGGTTTGGCCTGAGGGTCATTCAGCGTGACCTCAAAGTTTCCAGAAGATTGTGTCAAGGACAGAACCACGAGGCCTAATTGATGGTCTTGTGTTTCAGAGCCGGTGGTGGAGGGTCCTGTCTCCGTGGGACGAACAGTAGGCTCAGGTACAGCCTGCAAAGAGTGCACTCTGGTCAACATGAGAACCCTAGCAGTTATTATGGGTGGCCTGGAAGTCCAGACATAATGTCCTCCTCTACATTACTCAAGAAAGACACTTTCACACCAAATGCTATATGAGAAAACAAACTAACAAATAATGAAATGAATTTGCACCAGTACAACAGGTGGTGCTGAATGACAGCAAAGCTCACACCAGTCAGGACAGATACCTGAAAGGTGCCCCGCTTTGTGCCTGACCAGTACCTTAAAGGGGTAGTTCACCCAAAAATTAGAATGAACCTCATTGGTTCTTGCAGAAGCTCAAATGTGCTGCATAACACCTATTATAAATATTTTTTCTCAAATAAAAGTTAGTACACATAACTAAGGTATTGTTGTTCGTTACCACTTGCGTGTCCGGGTCTGAATGCACTTATTGTATATGTGAAGGATCTGTACACATGACGGGCAGCAAAATCGCAGGAAAAGCTTGATGTGTACCGACAACTATACATTATTTAAGCGTATTCTCTTCATTAGGATTTTTATATAGCAACTGAGTGTCTATTTTATTCCATTATTGTTTAATTGTTTAAGTTCCATTTAATAATGTTTCTCCTTTAACCCAATTTAAAATTTCATACCGTACTTTCATACCTCATAAGTGGTAGTATAAAAAGCCTATAAGCAAGCTTAATTGTTATATACTAGTTTGACATGACAGAAGTAATGCCTAAATTCAATCTGTTCATTGTATAAAGCAATCGTGTCTCTTCAGAAAATTTAAACTAAACCGCTAAATTCATTTAGTTTTTTGAGTTTTATGATCCCTTTATGAACTTTTTGAAGCGTCAAAGTGGTAGTTGTGTAACTGTCAATGTCTGTTGTGTGTTGAAGATTGAAGGGGTTTACACCAGGTTTCAGTTGGTCAATGGCGCAGTCTTTCAGTTGCCTCAAAATAGCAACGCGCCAACAATGTGCCCGAACACACCTTGTTTTGAGACCATGCGCGCAAATGCATTTGCCATTTAAACGTGGCACAGGACGTGAAAATGATAACTGCGTCGGAGTGTGATCGTGTCAGTATTTGTTTTATTATTTAAAGGGCGCATTAGTAATATGCGCCTATTTATTACACACACATGGACGTGCAGCAGCACACAAAGATGCCAAATATTATAAATAAAAGGATTGCAATGTAAAAGATTAGTATTGTGTAGATAAAGATATAGTGGAATCCGGCTTGTCCTGTAGTTGGTCTGCTCACGCGCTTTAACCTCGCGCACAAGCAGAACCGTTTCCTCGCTAGAGAAGTGTTCAGTCTTTCCGCTTGCAAATTCCACCATGTAAATAGCGAATCCGCCATGGCGCGAGAGTAACTGGCTTTCAAAGGGAAAAGGAGATGAGACTCTGATTGGTTTATTACACGTTACGCCCAAAACACACCCATTCCTCATTAAGAGAATAGGGACAATCCTTTTTCTCATCGTTAAACTAGCAAAAGTGGATTCGGACACGCCCTAAGTACGCTTGCACCGTGTGCTTTAGACCACGCGCTTAGATCGTTAAAATAGGGCCCTAATAGTGTCAGGCTCAAAAACTAGAGTATTTGCGTGTTTTACAATTTGATATACACTGTTCAAAAGTTTGAGATCAGTAATAATATACTTTTTTACTTTTGTTATGCAATGATGCATTAAATTAATCAAAAGTGACGGGAAAGTTTTTTTTTACATTGTTACAAAAAACAAATATTTGTCAAATAAATGTTTCATCAAAGAATCCTGAAAAGGTGTATTAAGCAGCACAGCAGTTTTTGAAATGTATTATAAAATAATTTCTGAACTTGGATTAATAATGCTGAAATTTGAATCTCAAATTCAGCCTTGACATCACAGGAATAAATGACATTTTAAAATAAAATCCAATAGAAAACTGGACAACATTTTACAATATTAGTGTTGATACTGTATTTTTGATCAAATAAATACAGCCTTGGTGACTGACGACTTCTTCAAAAAAACATTTCAAATGCCTTATTGACCCCAAACTTTTAATTGGTAGTGTACTTAATATGCAATCAGTCGTGTGTTTTTATCCCCAGGCGAAACAAAAAAAATAATCAACAGACATTAAAAACATTGTCAGAGAAAGTTCATCCCAGCTGCATAATAATCTTTCTATCCAAAATGTTGTATGTCATACTTGGTGTGAAAGAGTCTTAAGATAGTGTACATGGGTCATTATCAGGAAATCCCCCCCATCTCATTTGAAAAAGTTACTGTTACACTTTTAAGAAATCATGTTTCTCCGAGCACCAGGGCCGTAACCACCAAAAAGTGAATCTCATTTATTTACAGTCAGTATTGTGCTTTGTGCAAAGTCTTTTTTTCCATAACAGAGTTGAACTTGAACTTTAATGAGATGGGTGTTAAGTGTAAACATCGAAGTGCTGATTAAGTCTCCTAGAGAAACTTATAAAATATATATAAAAAATCACCATTATATATTTTTTGAAATATGACATCACTGATTATTTTCATTGTATTATTTTTAAGTGGGAATTGTGATTGCATGACATTTTAGAAAGCATTGTAGAAAAACGACAATATTTTAGGTAAATGATTAATAGGGATATTTCCTTTTTTATTTTAAAAGTTCTTTTGCATTACACATGAAACCAAGTTAAATCTATAAAAGAATATAACCAACTTCAGTATCTTGTTTATTGGGATACACACAGAACAGCACATGCCACCAACATACAATACACTATGAATGAAAACCACATCTTAGCCTTCTATATGACTATAGCAGAATGTGTTAGTTATAAAATGAATGGGTTTTCACTCTTAATTTTGCAAAGACTTGCATTATAAATCACAGTGATTTGCAGGCTGCCAGTGTTACACTGCTAAACCAGCCTAAACCTATACCAGAGACACTCAGATTGTCAGTTTTTGGTGTTATTTTTTTCTGCAACCCACTTTACATCCCTGTGAAATTGTAATCCAAAATGTGGGCCTCCATCTGAAAGGGTTCATGTCTGACCCCGGCGGGTATTTAAGAGTTTGCTTGCTGTCGTTCCACAGTTAAAACACCCTTTGGAGGGTCTGTCTCTGAATTGCCAACTGTGAATAATTCCTTTTCAGCAGTGGTCACCTTCTAACCCGTTCCTCCTCTCCATTCTGCAGCATCTGTCTGGAGAGCATCAGTGGCGTTCTCAAACTCTCCTTTCCATGCCTTAGTGCCAAATGATTAGCAATGCTGTCCTCGCTGATGCCTTATTCACGCTGTGAATGCTACAAGTGTTGCTAGTGAGAATGTAGCAGCTGAATTAATGTTTTGTTCCACATTTACCTGTTCATCAGTCCTTTTACTGAGCCCATTATTTCAGTCTGCTTGGTAAATATTTGGTCTTTTGTTAAATGTTTTTTTGTTTTGTTTCTAGCGGCACTGCTCTAGCTATCGCATTAAGCATGCTTAAAGTTGAACATGTTACTGTTTGTATTGACCAGAAGGAATGAAGTAGGCATACTTAAGTATGCACAGCAGTTTTGGTTTACTGCTTTTTCATTTCCCCCTGCTCACACTTCTGTTTTTTTCTCTCTTCTTTTTTGAAGGCTTAGCATCATTGACACCTATGGTCTAATGAAGCCCTCATAGGTGGAGAGCTGCTTTTTAACAATTTCCCAGTTGAAATGTGGAATGTTTTGGCTGGTCTAATCTTATATTGCTGCTGCTTCCGTGCACACTAAAATCCTTTAGATGATGACCTAACTATTTGAATGTTCATTTTTATTTACATGTTTAGTGGTACAAAAATGCACCAGTGATGCATTTTGACATGATGATGGCATAACAAGTGAGGATTTACATTTCTTTTTGTGTTTGGCTCATGATGTTCTGAGTTAATGTTCATTTTCATCTTTCTCTTCACAGTGTTTGATAAGCAAGGGTTCTTGCTGAATCTGGACTCAAAGCTGTAAGTATTCTGTATGACACAATCCCTTCCTTATAGATTTCACCAATAGAGAAAATGTACATAAAATAATCTAAATGTGTTAATACATCGATCAAGAGCAAACAGCCTTTTAGTTTATCTAAATAATTTATATTTTATTTTTTACTATCATGATTTTTAGATTACATAAAGAATGTGTATTATAGGGATTCGATGCTGTTTCTTTTTCACCACATTAGCCTTTCTACTTTCACTTGTTCAGTTCAGTCGTCCTGAAGTGTAAGAAATTCATTTTTAAAAATACAAATGTTATTGCTCCAAAATACATTGCTTATGAAATTATCCCCACACTTTTGAATAGTAGTGTTTAATATATCAAGTGGTTGTAGCAATACATATTATATAGAGAAATATAAATGAATAAAAAATCTAGGGTACTAATAGTCTTAAAAGCAATAAAGGCTTTTGCCCCCATTCAGTGCCATCAGTGTCTTTGAGCAATCTATTCCAGCGGCCTCGTGTGACGTGTTGTGATGTATGATAGGTCTGTGTGTGGTAGGTATATGTTTACATTTCATCTTTGAAGCACCCATACTCTCAGACTCTCACCTCGCCCTAATTTCTCAGTGTTGAGCATCAGAGAAGGCATGTCTGTCCACACCATGCGCACGTACAATAAGCAAAGCCTTCGACAGGTTTAGATTTCATTGACGCTGTGAGCAAAAACTGTCTGTGTGGTGCACTTCATCATTCAGCTGGCCTCAATCCACCATCCGCTCTGTTCCTCAAAGACTCAGAGCTGTCACGACAACAAAATATGACACTGTCCCAATGGGCCAACCACTTCATCAAAATGAAGGCTTCAGCAAATAAGTGTCTTGTGGCTTTTATTTTAACTGTTTAAAAGGCACTTAGTGTCGGACAATGTGATTTGATGTTGAAACCTGGGGTTTCGGCATTTTATCAACAATGTAAATTCGGATTCATGTAAAACATGGTTTTGTTTTTTTATTGCGTTACTGACACTTCAGAAAAATGGACGTAGTTATTTAATAGTGATTTTTAATCCAGTATTGAGATTAACACAGTTGATGCTTTAGATGCCATTTAACAAGGTGGTCCAGCCAGCATGTGTTCATTCTCAACCACCTCCAGTCTCTGATAGACCCGATTTCTCACACACACACACACACACACAAACCCATTGGCCTCTCAGACCTGACCTGTGTCCTCTTCACCTGTTTATTTGAACTGCTTTCATTGTGAGCTGCAGGTTATTAATGATGCCACTCAATTTAGGTGGTAGGAGCGTGCATGCTGCCCCCATCCATTTAGAGGATTTCTCAATATTTTATTATTGTTACAACCACTTGATATATAATGTATGTCCAAAAGTTTGGGGTCTGTAAGATATTTTTATTTTAAAATATTTTTGAAAGAATTATCTTATGCTCACATAGGCTGTATTTTTTGGTCAAAATCCAAAAATAACAGTTTTATATGTTAATATAGTTTAAAATGTAATTTATTCCTGTGATGGTGGTAACTGAATTGTCAGCATCATTAATTTATGTTACATTATTTTTTTGAGGAGTTCGAAAGAACAGCATTTATTTGACATAGTATTTTTTGTAACAATGTAAAAAGTCAGATTTAAAAGTATAATTTATTTTTTCTTTCTTTTTTTAATCTTACCGACCCCATAATTTCAATGTTGTTGTAAATATATCTAAAAATAATAGAATACTGTAAGTCTTTTAAAAAGAGGCCTGATTGTTCCAGGTTCTGTTCAAGTTTTTAACTTTTTTTGTGTCATACCAAATATGTTTGACTCCCGTATAACTACCCTGATTAAAATGAAAACATTTAAATAAAAATTAAATTCAATAAAATGCTGTAAGCAATAAACATTAAAATACACAGTTTCTAAAAGTATAACCACAAGATTCCAAACATTACAGATTTTAACAAGACATGTGTTATATGGCATTGCTGTCTGTAAATCATTGTTTGCATTGTGCACAATTCTGTCACGCATAACCAGATGTTTATTCATTTAGAAAAGTAGACAACTTTATAGTTTGAAAAATAAACTAGCTTTATGGAATAATTAGTGTAAGTACTTTACATTTCAGCTTTTAAACAACCCGGAACGCTGGCCCTGTTTAGTTTACTGAGCGTGTAACCAGTTTTTGCCTTTTAAATAAAACTGAGGGGCAAGTCAAAATTGTTTTCTGTGGTAACACATCATACCACAAATGCTGTCTTTAGAGCGTTAGCTGTTTTGAGCTTGGAACATTCTTTCCGAACAAAAGTATGAAATAAACACGCTCACTGTTTGTGCAGCCAGCAAAATGTGTTGCATTCCTATTGTTTGACTCTTTCATTTATTTAACACATCAGCGATAAACGGAGTTTCATAAAGTAATCCATCACATCCTGATCTAGATGTCATCCATCATGTGTCAGGCGAGATAAAAACAATATACCTCAGATTCACCATTACCCTGTAGCATAGTTATGCTGTCTGATATTCCTGTCAGGTTTAACATTTACAACCCAAAATGAATGCCTCCTCTTTCTTCTCCTCTCTAACTGTCTACAGGCCTCCGGAGTTGGTGTACAAGTATGGAAACCTCAGTGAAGGATCCTGCAAACCTGGCTATGCAGCTGCCAAAATGACTGCTATCTATCCAAAGTATGAACCGATTTTTTTATTAACATAATACTCAGGGTTTTTAAACGATAAGACAATAAGAATGACCCATTGCTTTTTTTGTAACTTATTGTACATGTTGTTGCACAATCTGCTGTCTTAAATTAGCACTGATATTTAGGCCACTAAAAACAGTTTACGTTTCGGCTGAAATTAGTGCTTTTCCGATGTCTTTTTCGTGCACACATCATGTATAAGCTATAACAGGTAAATATGATCTGTACAACATATTCATTATATTTTTACTTATCCTGTTAGTGATGTCTTAATCATAATTATTTAAAGAGCCCCTATTATGCTTTTTCAAATATTACCTTTCATGGTAAAGTTTCATTAAAGTTGTTGTCTCCTAAAATAAAGAAGTGTTGAGTTGTAAGCAATTTCAGTCTCATTTCCTGTTACATACCTTTGTAACAATGTACTGTAACAAATTTGCATAATGCCAGCCTTTGGTCTTCATTGACTGCCCGCAAACATCTACTTTGACCCTGTACAAAACACTCTAGTAGTTTGACTAGACACACTTGTAGCTGAGGATATTATTATGAGAAAATTAAAGTTTTTTTACCTAGGGTGCAAAAGAAAATTAGGAAGCTTTAAAATAGCATAATAGGGGCACTTTAATGTATGTTTGAATTAATCTGCCAAAATATATATTACAGCCAGCTTTTAAATGTTTCTACAAATTTGAGTAGAAACTAAAATTGATTATTAAAAAACTGCCTTGCATGCAGTTTAAATGTTTGTACAACTCAGTTTTTATTTGACTGTTGTTATTACATTAAATATGTAATAATTTCGGTGTTGGTGTTTCAGTAAAAATTATTTGGTGCAGCATAGTTAAAGTTAGCTGTCTGAAATGGGTGATATTGTTGGAATTATATGGGGGATTGGAAAAAATAATTCTCCAAGACAAATTTATAAATATAAAATGATTTGTTCATCAAAGTGGTGACTGACAGAAAAACATTCGTATTGTTGATTGCTGATATATGAATTGAGGTCTACTGCAGTTTCACTTGAATTTGCGCACTGCTAGATGTGGTTGTGTTTTGAGAAAAGGTATTTCATATTTCAAAAGGAGGATAATTGAAGATGGCAGATGGGATGGATGTTTGGTTGGAAGAACACAAATAAGCTTTGGCTGAATGCTGTGATTTTGTTCATCTTTTTTTTTCTTTTTAATTTATGTTCAGCTTTTTTTAAACCTGCTTTTGATCTGGAAGGCTTTGCCATATTGAGCCCTCTGTCGTCTTCAGAATTAAGTACAAAATCTGTGAATGGAAGACCGCTTTGTTAAAGATTTACTTCTTTAGTCCCGATTTGCCAAGTTCCTTGTGTATTCAACTCTCCCTGGTTTCGAGAGACACTATGTCACTTCTCAGCTACGAAGCCCCTGAGGCCAGTCTCATAATATCTCAGATTGAACAGAAAGCTGTTCCTCTGATCCTTTAAGTCCTTGTTAATTTGTGACCTACCACAACAAACAACCACTTCCGCATGCTCGCCAGCTCCACAATGCGCCCGTTGTAACTCTTTTGGAAGTGGACAGGGATTCTGTCTTTGCGGCTGAGAGGAAAATGCTCTGTAAAGCAGCCACTGTGGAGAACCGAATGAGTCAACTTCTTCCATTTGACTAAATCCTCAGAGCGCTCCTCGACTCTCAATGATGTCACAAAACACTCAGCGACCCTCGGTGACGCCATGGCCCTTTGATGGAGCTTTCCATATTTGCTGGCATCCATATTCCATTGTTCCCTCATCTTTAGGATAATTCTCCTGCTGGCTATTGTTAGCAGAAGTCATTTTTCCACTACAGCATGCCCAACGATGATAAACATTAAGCATCACGGTTTGGTTTGTTCATGGATATTTCTCTCATCGCCATAAGATTGTTTAGAAATAGCTTTTCCACCAATCAAGCAAGATTATTTTGGAAGGGATTTTAGCAGCTATCAAAAAACAGTAACTATCACACAATAGCAACAGCAATATTTAGTCAGATGGTTGCCCTGGATTGATTTAAACAAAAACTGACTAAACAAAAATATTAATTTAAGGAAATAACCTTTCAAAGGAGAGAGAGAGTGTAAAGAAAACTTGACAAGAATGACAAGTTCACGTTGCAGAAGATGCAGTTTTGTTTTGTTGTTATTTGTCTAGAGGCAGTACAAGCATCAAGAGACCCATAAAGCAGAGCAATGACTGAATTGGTGCCTAAAACTTTTTAACAGGTCCCCCAATTAACGGCATATGTGTTAACGGTGTCTACAATGTGTCTCTAATTAACATGTGATGGATCAAGGTTCTCAGGGTCTCTGTTTATCTTTCGGGGTCAAAGGGCACTGCTGCCACATCATTACAACACAAATATTTGAGCTTTTTTATTGCATGATAAATTATTTATAATGATGTTTAGGATACATTGATTCAGTTTAGATGTTGCCAGAATCACGGTGAACTAAAGTCGAAACATTTGATGTACTGTTTGAATGTATAAAATAGATTATTGGTTTCACGAACCGACAATGTACAACAATACTTATGAATGATAAATAAACTGTTGTTCCTTATTAATTCATGCTCATTAATATTATAAAAAGTTTGAAAAAATACAAAGTTATATGTAGACAGAATATGTAGTGGCATTAGATTTAATAAATGCTGTGAAAATTGCGTGCATGTCCATGATACCTAATGCATTAACTAATGTAAACAAATGTAACCTTATTGTAAAGCGTTTCCATATTTAAAATATATCGAGATATTTTTTAAACACGATATGGATTTTGACATATCGTATATATCGATATATTGTTTATATTTAATCCTGATTTCGCCACTTTGCTTGTTTGCCTTCTCTGTGCTGTGCTCGCCCCCGCCTCCTTGCTTTTGTTCCCCCTCCCCTCGCGTGTTGCCTCAAGAACAGCTGGCCAGTAACAAAAGTTATTTTTCGCGGATTATATTGCTTTAACACGCAAAATGGTCAATTTCGGTCTTCGTGAGTATACTCTAAACATAGTCGGTTTTGTCTTTAATAAGCATAAAACGCATGCCAGTATTATGAACGCAGGGTCCGTGCACTAGCTCTTAAAGTGACGGCAGCCATATGTGTCTGTCATTCATTTTGTTGTCAATACAAGAAAAGATAGCTTTAAGTTAAAGGAATCAGGATTAATAGCATATGTATTTAATTTATTCAGGACTAAAATACTACCCAGTGTTATTTTCCATTTGATTACTTTATTCAGTTTCTGTATATGAATCACGTGATTAATAATAATGACGAAATTCAGGCCCTGTGTTTAATAAATAGAAATAATTCGAGCACATAAACTTTCATATGGAGGATTAAATAAGATTCAATTTATGCAAGATTTCACAACTAATCACTGACACTGTACCACAGCCAGGTTTTAAGTTTCTTAAGCATCAAATAACAATGACTCTGAATTTGATCCATTAATCGAACTTCCATAGTGCATAGTTCTGCCTTGAATTTTCTCATTTGGTTACATTCTGTTATGGAAAATTAATTTTCTATTGATTGTAGGCCTATATTTTGAGTTGTATTCACATCCATTTTAAAGATATCGAGATATATATCGAATATCGAGATATAGCAAAATATATCGAGATATTTTTTTTGCTCCATATCGCCCAGCCCTAGTCTGGATTTTAAAATGCTCAAAACTACATATTTTTATTGATTTTAAGTGATTTTTACATTCTTTTAAAATGAAATCATTTTTTAAAATGCTATACTCATGGTGAAATTCAAAAAATGTATTTTTAAAATCTAGAAAAACTTATCAGCCTCACTAATCAGTGGTTGGATAAAGTAGGGATGGTCCTATTAGGGTTGAAGCCCAATTGCATGTATGTGGTCATTTGGGCAATTGCTTGTCTCTCCCTTTAGCGGTTTAATTTTAATAGGGGATCCCTGCATGTGTAGGAAACCACCTGAAGCCTCTGTTAGTCCAGTCGTTGGCTCACCCATGGAATCAACTTTATTTTCAACACCTCTACTCCTTTCCCCAAATTGTTTGTATTGGACTCTTAAATCAAATGTCTTGGTTGAACTTGAGCGGGCGGTTATAAAAATACAGCCCCCAGTGAGAGATAGCCATGAGGAAATGAGCACAATGTGCACAGGCCTCCTGTTCAGGACCCCTTTATGACAAGCAGACCCCTGTCTGTCTTTAGACCTAAAGCTCTCTCACCCAGTTATTTATAATGTGAGTTAGTCCGCACCCCACAAGCCACAAGTTAATTAATCACAGTTTGTTTTGGCAAGACTTTGCTTTGTCTCCTTTTATCAGGTGATATCAGAAGAGTATCCGATGCGACCGTTTTTTCCTTTTTTCTTGACGTTGTCGGACATCCTCTAGCCTTAAGCGATTAGTACATGAAATAGACACACTTTTATCAGAGTCTGTTTAACAGTTGCTAATAGTGAGCCCATTCATTTCCTCATCTCATTTCCTGCCATTGCTCTGACTTTTTCTTCAATTGACATCATCTTTGTCCTCTTTTTCCCGACATTTCAGACATTGTTGTAGATTTAGATGGTTTAAAAGCGACCAGAGTCCTCTGTTACCAAAAAGGCTTGTTAAATGGCTCTCTTTAATGTGAATTTTGATGGTCTTGCCACTCTGTACTTTGGAAAGGATTTTGGGAAAGGAGTTCTGCTGCTTTTTCTTCCTAAAAGCAGGAGCTGTATTTTTAAATGTCCCGTGTGTTCTCTTTACTGACCCATGATTAGTCTAAGTTTTCTTAAGGGAACCCACTTTTTTCAAACCATCTGTACCTCTCGCCAAGCTTTCCTTGTTAGTCTTCCCCCTGACCAATCTACTGCAATATTCGAACTTAATTATAAAAGACCCCTGAAAAATGATCCAATATCCTCATGTTTGTAAATGAATAATGAGCCTGTTGAGCTGGGAGGGTCGTAAAAACAGACATCCATCGCGTGGCCACACTTACGGAAGCAGAACAGAGTTCACGACTTGTTTGTGGAGGATGCTTCTGCTGTCTTAAACTTGCTTGGTTCTTATAAAATGACCTCTGAAAGGGATCTGGTATTGAAAAATGTAGTTCGATGGCTTCTGAAAGTTCACACTGCTTACCGGCAACTTTGAGCAGCTCAGTGTTCCACTTCCTGGAGATTTCCCATTTGTATTGCTTTAAATGTTGTCGAAATGCCCGTTGGTAGCAGGCGTAGTAGATAAGAAATGACAGCGAGGATCTGTGGGTCAGAAGCACAGGCATCCATCGTTGCATTTGCACATCAAGCTTTAAGAGGGGAGTGTGCTGGGAAATGGCCTCCGGGTAGGGTATCCCTGACTCCTCTTGAGAAGGGGTGAACGGAGGCCTGGGTTCGTGATTGATTGGTGCTGGTTCAGCCACACTGTTTTAAACTTTAATCACAGGTCAACGCAGAGATGAAGTGAGACCTCTCACACACAAAAGGCCCTTTTGACTCCCCAAGCTCCTGATGTCCAGGAAGGGAATGTGTGGTTTGGCTATATTTTATTAGCCCTTTTGATATGGAATTGATGGAGATGTTTTTGGTACTGTGCAAAATCTTCTAGCAGTCTTCTATTAGATTTGCTGAATTTACATTTTGTCTACATCTGAATGTTAGTTGTCCATAGAATGTGCATTCATTATATTTTGTTTCTTATGCTTTTGCAGGTTTAGTAAGCCAGCTTCCATGTTTCTGGACCGAAACTTTAAGCGGCTTGCAAAAGTTACCAACTATTTACCTCCATTTGGATTTAAAACACAAGGTATGTATCTTTTTTAAAATAGATTTGTTAAGGTTGTCTTTGCCCTTTAACAACAATGTTCTCCAAATGCTGTCTTGTTTCCAAAAACCGGTTCTTTTAATGAACCGTTTAAAACGACAAGTTGATGATTTGAATCGGTATGAAGCACTTCTTTAGAGGTCTGCACCGGATGGATTCTTAGTCTCGCTCCCGCTAAATTCTTTTTCCACAATTTGTTTTTAATATTGTGTCCTGTTTCCGCATGCAACTTCCACATTTTGTCCTGTTGGACCTTCTGGAGTTTTTTGTCTTCCTCTCTCGTAAGATGCAGTCTTGTTTCGTTGCCACAGACTAGGGCTGCACGATATTGAAAAAACTGACATTGCGATATGTTGTTTTTCAGTGATATATATTGTGATATGAAAACAATTTCACCAATTGTAAATTTACAGCTGGTTAATTTTACAATTCACAAATGTAAAATAACACTGCATAGTCTTCACTTTATAAATTAAATATAATTCATCTTTGTTAAAGCTACAAAAGTGAATCTTTTGTATTTTATTTTTATTTTTTTTATTAACATTGAGACAGACAGCAGCAGGAATATTAGGCTTCTGTCACTTTAAAGGGGGGGGGGGGGGGGGGTACAATGGTGTTTCATGTATTCAGAGTTGTTTACAGTGTTAAAGAGATGGATTCTCATGCTAAACATGGCCAAAGTTTAAAAAAATATATTTTGGACGAATAACGGATAATTTCTGTGGCGAAAATCTTACTTCCGGGTTGGTACAAGTTTCGGCTGGGTTTTTTTTTTCCGATTGTGGATCTAATGACGTAGACGAGAGTGGAACTCCTTATATGAGCATTTCTCTCGGAAAAGCGCGCCCGCGCACACGTCGACCAGAGGAGAGCGAGACCGCGCACATCAACGCGCATCAACAGGAAATCATCGGCGGAATGCATAGGAATGTCTTTAAATACATTTGTTTAGCTGGCCACTGTAGGTGTCTGTTTGTTTATTGTAAAACCAAATCATGTCCTCATAAACCACGAGTAAACGCACACAAATGTAAGTTATAACTCGCGTATGACATGGTGTTCTAAAAACACTGCGCTCAATTTCAAATCATTTCTACTTTAAAAAACTCCCGCCTCTGTCGGCATCAAACTACACCTCCGACTTCCCACATGTACACCTTTTAAGGAAAAAATAAATAAAAATACGACGACATAAAGTGAAAATTAGTCATTTACAAAAACCGCTAAGCAAATATAAGTTACAGTTCCAGTACACACCACATAGAGACGTCCTGCTGTAGTCTTTGCTGCTGCTGCTCGTCTTCAATTTCAGCCTCGGGATCTGATTTGGGATCAAAAATGTATGGCTGAATCTGATTGTTACCCATGGTTTGTTTTGGGATGTCACAGCTTCCAGACGCACTCAACGCAAAAGCTTTGCGCGCTCGTGATTATTTAGCTCCGCCCACACTGCACGCCACTAAATAAAATAATGAAATTAAATCAGAATCCTATCTGGAATATTACTGGACAATAATACGTCTCTGGTCACAAAAATTACTCCTGTCATAAACTCCAAATGTTTTAAACTGTTAGCGATCATGTTTCTTTATAGCAGTAGGATGCCAAACTCTTACTATGATCAACCATCGCCGGTTCAGGACAGGAATGACCCTGATATTGCAGGAGCGTCTGAGAGAAACCCTCTGTTGTGTGTACGTGGCCTGATGTAATGCACAGTATGGCAGACATTTATGTACTTCAGTGATGCGGAGGTTTTATTCCATTCAACAGAGAACAAGAACTTCATTCTACTGAGCTTTGTGAATGTATCAAAGAGAATGAGACATTCTGAGAAAGACCTGCAGATAAGATAACGGTTTCTTGAAACCAATTGGTTGTTAATGTAATCCTCCGTTGTCTGCTCAGTTTTTTTCCCCCTCCATCTGAAAAGACGATTACATCTTAGATTTCAGCACATTGTCAAATGTTCCAGCACTTGAGGGCAACGGGCACATAAGGGTACCTTGAATGTAACCTTTGTGTTCGGTTAAGGGCTGCCGTGTCCACACACATAAAGACTTTCAAAAGAGCAGGTCCCATGTTTACATTACACCTGGTTTCTGTTTGCTGCATGGATCGTGAGCCTAGCGTGACTTCACTTTTAACTTTATTCATTTGGATAGGTGATACGTGTGGTTCTTGAATAGAGCTTGACAAAGGTTCTCGAGTCGTGGGCCAGAAAGGCATAAAAATAGATGTCTTATTTCTGCACTACCAATTCTGATATACGCGATCCCTGCGGCCACCTACGACTTTGTGATTTCTGCTCTTGATTACGTCGCCCTCAGTGGAAAACATTCAGTCAAAGCATTGCAGATGGTTTTGTCGACCGTAAGGTAATCCCAACATCCTTTAAAGACGGGAGAACCGAATACCTCAAAGGAGAATAAACCATTAGGGCTGTTTTGACTGTAAGTTTGGCCTTTTAAGTGCCTTACAGTATTAAGTAGCCTCTTAAATGTCTCCAGTGACTCGGGATGAAGTGTCACTCTTAGCTACTTTGGTGAAGTTCCTCTAAAACTCACGATGAATTGTTTAAATAGTTTATGAGCGTGTTTGATCGTTTTTTAAACAAAAAAAAAAGCTTCTTGACAAACATTACATGAAAGAAATGTCATTATGTGACTCGTGCTCTCAGAAGTCATGCTCCAGATGTTTTTTCTTTTTTTTTTGCGATATTAGCCCCTCATGTTCTCAAAGTATTTGCATTTGCAAGTATTTTGCAAGTTGAGGATGAGGGGCTCGTTTGTTTAAACTGCCAAGAGTGATACTTGGCTGAAATGTTCATAACGTTTATCTGAAAACAATTCAAACCTATTGCTCTTCCCATTTCTTTGTGAAACCCTGATATATACAGATATCAGGGTTTCACAAAGAAATGGGAAGAGCAATAGGTTTGAAATTTGAATTGTTTTCAGATAAACGTCATAAACATTTCAGCCATATATATATGCAAAAACAGCGTCGGGACCACACTGGAATACGAAACGAATATATATATATATATTCGTTTTGTATTCCAGTGTGGTCCCGACGCTGTTTTTGCAGTGCGTGGTGATGCTTGATGAGAGCCGTCAGCACTTTGTCCAAACAATGACGGCTACTCCCTGCTGCTTTTTAATCATTCAGGTCACAGTTTAGGGTCAATGCAGATTTCCAGCTCTTACGTTAGCTTTCACACTACACCGACTGTTGCAGTTCTGGAGGATGAATCAATTTACAGACGGTTTTTACATGCTATATTGTTGTAATCACATCCATTCACTTCAAACCAAACCACAGGACTACATTGGTGCATCCTATTATGTTTGCCTCTCAATAACATAGCGTCTATGGCAATAAAAAAGATAATCTCACATGTGAGCTCTTTGTTGTCAGAAACAGTAATGGTAGTCATTAGGGTAGATGCTTTCAAACCACCGGACGAGGTAAAAAAGGAAGAATTATGTACAGATGTAGATTTGGCGCCTCACACATACTGCAAAGTGCCTAGCAGACCTCCCAAAGTGTTTCCCTCCATGTTATGCCTTTTAGATTCTTGTTCATTGGAATATAGTTAAGGTCAAAAAGGTATATTGGGAAAATGGGCAAGTCCGTACTCCTTGAATTAGCACTTTTTCAATCCGTTTCATTCTCATCTTTGGCCTTTTATAGTATGCATACGGATGCTTTAGTTACCTCAATGGATCACACTAATGCAACCTTACTAGGAAATCCGGTGTCTTCGCTGATATCAGACGGCATAATCTGTGGCTTCCACGAATGCCTTCGAGGGTATCGGAGGAATGATCGCTATGACCAAACAGCTCTGTAAATTTACATCACGAGGTGACATACTAAAGGCATTGGAGAGCATTAAATTGAAGTCTTTGGCACAGGAATTTTACTTGTTTGCAAATGGCATTCCACTTTTACAGACTGGTTTTTCCAAGGTGTCAGTAACCTATTTTCAGTTGCTAATACAACTTCCAGAAGCCTCCGAGCAAATAATACAATCATGCTTCTCCATCAGACCACCAGGAGTGTAGATGACTGAGAAAATCATTCGAGTCAGATTAGAGCCATAACCATTTATAGATGTTTTTGTTTCATCTTTTTGTTCTATCTTGTTATCTCTCTCTCTCTCTCTCTCTCTCTCTATAGAAAGAATCATAGATGTCATATTATCTTCCACAAAGAATTATGGACTGGGTCCAAATTTGGATAGGTAAGACTTTTTTTTAAATGCATCACTCACTATAAATTAATTTTCCTAAAGGACCATGTCCTGAATAGGTGTCTTGCCATCAAAGCCATCTCTTCTGAGTTATGTTCATTGATACGTTGTAGATTTTTATTTATAATACTACCATTCCAAAGTTTGAGGTCTGAATGTTTTCTTGTTTTTTTTAGGTTTTTGAAATAAGGCTTATGCTCACCAAGGCCGCATTTATTTCAATAAAACATTAATAATACGAAATTATTATTTCATTTTAAAATAACTGTTTTCAATTTTAATATATTTAGAAATGTCATTTTTTCCTGTGATGGTAAAGCTGAATTTTCAGCATCATTAATCCAGTATTATTCAGTGTCACATAATCCTTCAGAAATGATTCTAATATGAAGATTTGATGCCCAAGAAACATTTATTATTATTGTCAGTGTTGAAAACAGTTGTGCTTCTTAATATATTTGTGGAAACAGTGATACTTTTTTTTTTTTTTCAGGAGGCATTTAATTGAATTGGAAATCTTTTTTTAACAATGTAAAAGTATTCATGTTTAGACATTTTTTATCAGTTTAATACATCCTTGCTGAATAAAATAATTAATTTCTTAAAAATTCTTTGTGTATATTTTAATGTGTATTATGCATAAAATGTTCTGATTGACTCTGATTGTCATGGTTTGCATAACGCATGTATATAGTGTATCATCTTTTTACCTGACCTTTTTTAAACTACAGTTATAGGCAATATCAGGTTAGGCTTGTGTCAGTTTTAATAGCTGAATATGGTTGTAAACTAAAGATGTATGCAGGTTTTGGAATAATGGCACCTGTTTTCTCATATGTTCTCTTTGCAGTTTGAGTTGTAAAAGGTGTGTAATAGTAGGTAATGGCGGTATCCTTAGCAACAAGTCTTTAGGATCCCGCATCGACGAATACGATGTTGTAGTCAGGTGAGTGCCCACAGTCACCATGTTCTGCTTTTTTAATGTCCAAATCAATAAACAGAAAAAACAAAAGGATTGTAGACACAAATGCAGCTGATTTGCACTTTTTAGACTCAACGAGGCCCCAGTGAATGGTTACACCAGAGATGTAGGTACTAAGACCACCATGAGGATAACCTATCCCGAGGGGGCCATCCAGAAGCCTGAACGTTATGAAAAAGATTCCCTCTTTGTCTTCTCTGCTTTCAAACCTCTCGACTTTAAATGGTTGAGACAGATGGTCAACAGAGAGAAACTGGTAAGACCTTATTTCCCTCAGTAAAATCTGTATTGTTTTTTTGTTTACTTGTTAAGGTCTCATTATTTATTTGAGTGTGAGGTAGAATGATTCCAGTTGTTTTTACAGGCCCTTTTTCTGCACTATATTTTATTTAACTTTTATTAAACTTGAAATCATTTATGAATTCAGAGTAATGTTAATATTGCCCTCTAACCACAAAATTGTCAATGCAGTATTTTTTTGTAAAAGGATTTTTATAAGGAATAGCTATAGAAGAAAAGGCTTCTATTGTTCAAGGACTTTGTCTCATTTTTAGCATGTGGTAAAACATTCTCCTTCCAGGTTTGACTGACATCTTGTGAATTAGCCTCTTAATCAGGTGGGTCGGCACGTCTGAATGAGCTCTCTCTTATCTCACACAGTTTTAATGGCTCTGCCTCCATCCCATTTCTTATCACACAAAGAGCTAGCATAAGCACTCCTTTCTCCTCTGGAGTCGACTGACTTGGCTACTCAAGGACGTGTTTTTTTCTTTTCCAGTCTTCTGCCATGTAATCATGGTCAAGGCGTTTGGTCGAGGCGTGTGTGGTTTCCCCCATAATCTCCCTTTCCGAATATACTTGTCTTCCTCAGCTGCACACCTGCTTGTTTTCCCCTGTTGTCAAGTGGGAATCTGGCGGCAACGTGCCTCAGGAGTTCCCGGGCCAACACAGCTGCTGGGCTTTCAGCGGACCAGCGCTGGATTTCTTTTTTTTACAGGATGACATTTGTCAATGTGCAATAGACTTGGCAGAGGAAGAAAAATAGAGAGCTATTTGATCACCCTCCCTCCCCTCTGGCCCCTGAAAAGAGCCCGATTTGTCTGAACATCTGATCGTAACAAGCTGGACAGTGGAAAGTGCTCAGATAATTGATCTGCCCTCTGACTTCTGATACATTGGCTTTGATCCCATGGAAGGAAGAATTTCCTTCACCAAATGAGGGGTCAAGAAAGCTCCAATGTGTCTGCCATAATGTTAGAAACAGCATTCAGAGGATGGTGACTGATGAAAACCATAGTATTAGGTAACAGAACAGCTTGAAAAAGGAACATTGAATGTTCATGCCATACTGGAATCTAACGGGGAGGTTCTTGGTTTTTAAAATGGTTGTAAATGGGCAGTATTTATACATCCAAGATAATGCAAGAATAGTTTAGATACCTGACACTTGCTAATAAAAAAGACAAGCACGACTCGTACTGCTGGTCATATTAAGCTTTGGTATGCAACTCGTCCTTAGTGAATTAGGTTTACATGCACACCAAAATTCTGCTTTTTGCAACGTTACATGCAAACGTTTACATGTGCTTTTACTTTTCTAAGCAATCACAATAATACAGTTGGATTTTTATCCGATGGATAGTAAAATGGGCAAAATAAACTTCTTAGCCTTACGATGAAGGAGGGACCCAAGCCATATCTAGAAACAGAATATCACAGAGACCACCCAGAATACCCTAGCAACCACATAGCAATTGACATAAACCACTAAGAACACCTTAGCAACTGCATAAAAACCCCTGGCAGTGATTTTTGTTCAGGCAAGCAGCACTCCGATTTTCTTCCGAAAACGTAAAAATGCAGTTCCTGATTGTTTTTCTTCCTCCGGCAGACAGCCACAGCTGTAAAAGATGTTTATATCCAGCTAGTCTTCGTGACCTCCCGTGCATGTATTAAGTTGTAAGAGTATCATGTTTAAAGTGGAGTTTTTAACCGATTGTCACTTGACAAATGAAGCCTATCACTATTGTGAATTCTTACAGATGAAAAACGACTGACTTCTATTCATCTCTCTTGATCAACGTCAGACTCTGAGAGCCCCTTGCATTCCCTCGCTCCCTTCTCAAACAGTTTAACTTTGGCTGTGTTTATTTTTAACTGGCGAAGGGTGGTATTTTAGGGCCAGATGAAAATCTGACTAAGCGTTTATCTAGTTTGTGCACTCTATACGTACTGCAGATGTTTCTTTGAGTAATTTGAGTAATCTCTAAACAATAACAGCCATTCATCACCATGCTTAATCACACATAATCTTATCAAACACTGTGTCCCTAACAACAGTATACAGTGCATCTCATGTTTGAAAACAAATACATTCCCTGCAGGCCGCTTCCAAGTCTTATTTAGATCTTACGACATATCTTTGAAAATTTCATTGCTGCAATGAAAAATCCCGTTGATTGACATGTGGTGATGTTGCTGCTACTTTGCCAAAATATAAACGCTTCCCTTTATTGGCAGAAACCTGGTGGTGAAATGGAAAACGCTTTGTTTGTGCAAGCGGTGACAACAGCGATTGAGATCCATTGTGTGGCGACGTCTTTCATTTGGAGATGAACGCATAAAGGCATGTGCGACTGTGTGGGCAGTTGGCTTTAGAAAGGCACGTAGCTTTAGACTTCAGTGTAATCCTTGACTAGCACTGACTCCTCACTCTCTTCATCTCAAACAGTCACACTGATGTAACTTTGAACAGTGGCTGCTTGCAGCTTTGAAGGTTTTTTTTTCTCTCTGCTACTCTTTTGTACGGGTGGAAGGAATGCCAACCTTTTCAGTTCGTAACTTCGTATTGACAGAACAGTAGACGTGTGTCTTCCCAGCATCTTCCAAGAATCTTGCTGGAGTTCACCTGAATATTATGCTATGAGGCATGAGCGCTCTTCACAAATCCAACCACCTGTTAGTTGAATTATTGCATTTTGATGAAAGATTATGAAGACAAACAATTATGTTTTTGGAATAACATGCATGTGATGAATATTTAACAGTAATGTCATGAATGTGCATTAAAGCCGACATAAAATCAAAATTAGTCATTGTAACAAGGTTAGGTGTTACGGGAAGAAAGGGGCGGGAACCGGCGAACATTCCAACAAACTTATAATCATAAAATAAACAAACAACAATACAAAAGTAAAGGCGGCAGCTCCTCGCGGGCAACTGCCGCCACATATAAACAAAACATAACATAAATAGTCCAGGCCTGGTCCTCTCTCGTCCTTCACTGTCGTCGCTCCTTCTTTTATGCTTCCGCTCTTCCGTGAGAGATACGAGACCGTTCACTCACGGCCCTCTGCCTCGTCCTGCTCGCCACAGCCATATTTATTTTCTTAATGCATGTTATTGGTCTTATAGAGTGCTGCAGGTATAACATATATTTGTAGCCCAAAACCCAGGAACAAATTGGGATTTTAGCACTTTTTAAGTTCCATCATCCTGAAGTCAATGGGGTTTTTTTTAGTCTGTTTTTAGTCAGTTTTTGGTCTGTGGTGTTTTTTTTTTTTTTTTTTTTTTTTTATAATCCTGAATTAAAATGTCACATCTTGATTTTTGTGAAAAGTCAAAATAATTTTCTGTGGTCACGGAGTTGAGTTAGTTTTGATCTTGGAACATTACTTTCACACTAAACACTCGACACAACTCGGATTTGTTAAAACTCCATAAATGCGTCACATTGTTCTCTTGATTTCACCTATTTTAGTCATTCAAAATGGATTAACGCCTCAGAGGTCACTGATGTAAAAACATGCGAAGGAGCCTGATTTGAAAATGGGCAATGGGCTAGCCGTCATGTGTGATAAGAGCGTACTTAATTAACGAGTCCTAGAGTTCACGGAGGAGCATGTGGCTCCCACGATAATTATTTTCATTCAGAATACCATTGACTAGGTAATCCTCTGGCTTCTCTCTGAATATATTTACCCATCACTTCTTTCTTCCATATGTCTTAATCCCTTATTATTTCAGCCTTACATGGTAAGAGCAAGGCAAAAGTGTGTCACTTATCAGACACTCCTTCAGGCTCCCGCTTTTGGCATTTATTGAAGGTACTTTCCGTGTGTCGGCGTGTTGCATAGCATTGCCAGTTGTATAATAGTTGCCCGTTGTATCTTGTGGTTTAGTTTGTAGTAGCTTTATTTGTATGTAACTCTGGGAGTACACACTGTTGTGTGCATGACTATCTTTGTTGATGCCTGTGGAGAGCGTGCCTTTGTTTACTCACGAACCCTTAAGGAAAGGTGACTCATGGCACTTTTGCGAAATTTTAAAGGGATAGTTCACCCCAAAAAAATGTGTCATAATTTACTCATCCTAGGGAATTTAAAAACAATCCTTGACAGTCTTTTTAATATAAAGAGGACCAAAGTGAAAGAGGACCAAAAAAAAAAGCAAAAAGCAGCATAAATACTACTAATAAAAAGTACTGATATGGCTTGTTCACTATATTAAAGTCAATAGCATTGTGTGAGAAATGGACTGACATTTGTTGCTGTTGCCTGAAATTGTTGGAATCTGCCCTACCTGGCGTTCATGAGCGAAATAGCGATGACTTATTCATGAACGAGTCATTCTTTGCATTCTTTGCAATTAATCCGTTGATCCAATTCACAAAACTGCTCTAAATAAGTCATTCATTGATTTAACAGCCCACTAGAAGGGAAGATTATCAGGGAATAATGATGCATAGTGAATGATAATCAGGGAATAATAGTGCTTTCTTTTTGAAGCTTGAAACAGGCTTCATTAAACCTTTCATTATTTGTCACTTTTTATTATTGAGAGTCAGCACTTTTGATCTCTTTGTAGCTTGATTGCAAGTCAGCATTTCCAAGCTCTTTGTAGTGGTGTTTTTGTAAAAGCATGTCTGTTTTTAGAGTTTGATGCAGGTGTTGTCTCTCCATTTGACCTAATGGGGCAGCAAGCCAGGGGTTAACAAGGGGACATGTGGTTGTTTGCTTCTGAACATGCCAACAACCAGGCTTTCATCAGCCAAACAGTCACTATGTCTCTGTACTACATTTGAGGCAGTCAAAATGTACCAGACCTTTTAACCAGTCCTTTGGCATGCTTAGGGCATAGTGTCAGTCTCTGATGACATACCAATGGACCAACCACTGGCCAGCAGCCATATCACCCTGTAGCCCAAGACTGGTTGCCCACTGAAGCTAAGCAGGGCTGAGCCTGGTTAGTACCTGG